CGTGTTGTCACGATCAATTCCACTTCGTTTTTGAAAAATTCTCTCCTGTTCCAAGTGACGTTTTGACTGGATAAATTTTTGCAAGATGCTACCTCGCGAAGCTTTTCACAAACATCGGAAATTTTGCACAAAAATATATGTGTATGCCTGTTTGGAAGTAGCTTCGAACAAGCTATTTTCTTCGTGAAATTATTAAATGTTGCTACAAATAATGTCGCTATTTTCAAATTTAATAAACATTGCCATCTAGCGGCAATAATTTAACTTGTTACGACGTAATCTATATTCTAGTTAAATGTATTGATAGTTAGTGTCAATAATTTATTGTTAAATTTTGAAGAAATTTCAGTGAATCCTATAGAATCCTAAGAATGGAAGAGTAAAGTGTGGATGAATTCCATATTAAACATTTGTTTAATGTGCTTTATGAGTTTTGAAAGCGTAACAATCCCACTAATGTCACAAATGCCATTTAAATACTTGGATAACATGTTCAGCGTTGGTTTAAAAAATTTAAGAACCGTGATTTGAATCTTCTGGACGGTATAAAATCTGGAAGACCTGTTTGCTTTTACTTCAAAATCACCCTCATTTTACAAAAAGAGAATAGAAAGTTTGTCAGAAAGATAGGCAAAGATTGTCAATAACGATGGGAATATATAATACATATAACATAATAATAATATATAAATATATAATATAAATAATATAAAAATATAAATATACAGGGTGTTTCGTAACTTGTGGGACCCACATCGGGAGCTGATTGTACGCCTAAAAATAATATATATCCTATCTGTCTTCGTTGAGATATAATGAATTTTATAAACAGAGCAAACTCTAGTAAGCTAGGTTTACCAGGGATGATACATTCAATTTTCATAATAATCATAATTGGGATGAAGAAAACCCACGTGTTATTGTGCATTCAAGATATCAACACCAGTTTAGTTTAAACGTACGGGCAGGAATAATTGATAAATTTTTAATTGGACCTTTTTTCCTTGATGGGAAACTAACAGGCACAAAGTGCGTTGATTTTTTGAGCACGCGTTTACACGAAATATTAGAGGAAGTTCTAGTCGATATTAGACTTTGTATGCGGTTTATGCATGATGGAGCTCCGCCGCATTTTAGCCGAGTGGCTAGGCAATATTTAAATCAACACTTTGCAAATAAATAGATTGGTCGTGAAGGTCCTATTGCATAGCCTGCTCGTTCTCCGGATTTGAATCCATTAGATTTTCATTTGTGAGGACATTTAAAATCTATTGTATATACGCAACATGGATTGAAAATGCTGAAATACTACGAAATAGAATAGAGCAAGGCTTCCGACAAATTCGAGAAACACCAGGAACGATAGAGAGAGTAACCAGATGAATGACAAGACGCGTGCAGGCTTGTCTTCAAATGCAAGCTGGTCATTTCGAGCATCTTTAGCAAAAGTAATTAAGACAGAAAATTCATTATATCTCATAAACGAAGACAGATAGGACATATATTTTTATGACTTTTCTCCATTATTTTTAGGCGTACAATCAGCTTCCGAAGTGGGTCCCACAAGTTACGAAACACCGTGTATAATATGTATAATATAATAATATAAATATTTCTTTGTCGGAAGATTTATGAAATAAAATATCGTAAAAAATAAAATTTCGTACTAAAAGTATCAAAAAACAACATTATTTATAAATATCCCTAATTAAGAATAAGCATCGATCGAAAGTGACCGATGAGAGTTTAAAAGAATTCAACATGATTCTCGCATTGTCTCAACAGACATAAATAATTTGATCAAGAGGATAAATCCCACCAAAAAAGTATTTTTCTAACGTGTTTATAAATACGTTTTTGTTGCTAAGACAGTTTAGCGGCGCTCATTTGTGAAAAAATTGGCGTGCGAAAGTTTGGCCACCCGTGTCACGGTCTAGATGAACTTTTTTTTCTTGCATAACGCACACGTTCCCCGGAAAACGAGCGATGGCACTCGGGAGAAACGTCGGGCAGTTTCTTCTTACGTAAAACCACCGCGTGTGTACGTAAACCGATCTCCGCCTTGTTTTCACTTGCGCTCGGGGAATGGCGCGGGAAACGCAAGATGCGGCGAGCGTCACGTTGGAAAACATAAAGTCACGAATTTATGTCGGCGCGTGCACACATACAGCGTGCCGCGTACGATTTCCTCCGTCCATTTCGAAGGCCTTTCTCACGCCGTGGAAATATCTCTTCTCTCTGTGTCTTATTAGCCTTTCTCTTTTTTTTTTTCTTTCTTTCTTTCTGTCTGTCTGTCTGTCTGTCTCTTTCTCTTTCTCTTTCTTTCGCGTCGCTAACGCGTCGTTCGTACATACGTTTTCGGTGCAAAAATATCCGAAATATCTGTCAAAGGCAGATTAGTCCGACGAGGCAGCTGGATCACCTTGACTACACGATTCTCCATTCACCAGACACCGAATTCTCTATCCAGCCACCCGTGGATGAATGCAGATCGCGCGTATCGCGGATTAAAATGGCGACGATGATCGTCGATGAAGGCTGAATTTCACGGCAGGGCGAGGAGCTTTCTTTCTCCAGCGTTCCGTTCTAGTTTTCTTTTTCCATCGAGTCGACGACTGAGTTACGAGCGCAAAATTGAATTCGCCAAGGGCGGACGATAAGAGGAGCCGGCGGTGGCGATCGATAAAAGTGGGCGCTGCTTTCGCAACAGCGGCGGAACTTTTCTTTTTTTTTTTTTTCTTTTCTTTCTTCTTTTGCAAAGACCCACACCCGTGAAGATAATGTCTTAACTGGACGGTTCCACGAGTCGTTCGCGTCGATCTGAAACGAGTTTAAGTAGCCGGTAAAGTCGTTTACACCTTCCACCAAAAAGCCGTCTCTGTCTGGAGGGCCCCGCGGTGATTATGGGGCACCACCTCTTTCTATAGACGCAACATTTACATACGGGATGACCGATCGGCCTCTCTCTCTTTTCTTTTTGCCCGCTTCACGCTCCACCCGATAAAACGCCGCGCGGATAAAGCTAGCTTCACACCGCGTTACGGCGGTAAAGGGAAGCGAGTTTCCAGCACCCTGAAACTTCAACGAGTCGAACTAAACTCCTTCTATAGAAAGTTTAAGTCTGTTGTACGTCTCCACTTGCTGAGGTTACAGAGGTTAGATTAGGGGTACAGAGGTTAGATTAGAGGTAACAGGAATACAGAGGTTAGTTATAATTTATATTTATATTTATAATTTACAATTTGTATATAATTATAATTATATGATCATATTTATATTTATAATTTGTATATAATTATAATTATATGATCATATTTATATTTATATTTATAATTTATATATAATTATAATTATATGATCATATTTATATTTATAATTTATGATATATATATATAATTATAATTATAAAATCATATTTATATTTATATTTATAATTTATGATACATATATAATTATAATTATATAATCATATTTATATTTATATTTATAATTTATGATTTATATATAATTATAATTATATAATCATATATCATTATATTATTTATATTTATATTTATAATTTATATATAATTATAATTATATAATTATATTCATATTTATAATTTATATATAATTATATATATTATTTTTATTGTACAAATATAGTACTTGTTCTGTGATTTCAGATATTTTTTGAATTTTTGTTTATTATTTATATTAAATACAATAATTAACGTATTATAAATAACACGTGATGTAAAATATAAAATTAATAAAGTTGAAAATATATATGCTCCAATGATAGATATAGAAATTTCCAACGTTAATGATATATATTTTGGATAATTACGGTCAAATTATGGTAAAATTATAGTTCAATTTCTTAATAAAAATCGAAGTTAAATAAAATCAAACTTAATAAAATGTCCAGCAATCAAATTTGCTGATAAACGAATCGATAAAGTTCAAAAACGAATAATCAACTTAATTGATTATATTGTTATATTAAATACAATAATTAACGTATTATAAATAACACGTAATAGTAAAATATAAAGTTAATAAAGTTGAAAATATATACGCTTCAATAGACAAATATAGAAATTTCCAATGTCAATAATATATATTTCGAATTATTATAGTTATCGGTAAAAACTACAGTTCAATTTATTATGAAATTTCTAAAATAAAATTAAAGTTAAATGTCCAGCAATTAAATTTACTGATGGACGAATCGATAAAGTTCAAGGACGAATAATTAATCCAATTTGATCACGTCACTTTATATTCATCGTATATATAATTTATATCTACTATTTTTTATTATACAAACATGTCCCGTGATTTGTGAATGGGGCTGAATGTCCTTCGAACATCGATATTATCCAATGTGACACTAAAACTCGCCAAACTTGCGTGTCGGCTGCAGAAATCGTTCTCTCGCAAGCAAGCAAACGTAACTCTCGCGAACGCGAGAAGAAGAAACACGCAATGAATGCGTCGTGACGCATTCACGGTTCAAAATTGTCAGTGTGGATCGAGCTTAAAGCAATAATCGCGGCAGCAGTGTCCGGGTATATTCGGTGATCGATAAAAACGCGGGAGCGTGGCCGAGAAGCAGCAAATATTAATCTCCCGAAAAGACTGTGTCTCTCCGTGAGCGGCCGGATGATTGCGGGCAAACTTCCAAACGGCCGTGCGCGAGCGGTTTCGTTAAAATTCGCGAGGGGCGAGATTGCAACGTCGGACGGAGAAAATGACTGGCACGACGGACAGAAGAAACGCCGAAAGAAACGAGCACGGCGTCGCAGCAGCACCAAGCCAACTGCCTAACAACAGTTCCTCTTCTTCTTCTTCTTCTTCTTCTTTCTTCGTCTCCTCTCGCGCGTTCGCGCGTATATCGACGTATTGGACGAGCCGAGCCGAGTGGTAACGCTCGATAATGCGCTTTATCGCCGGCCAGAGTCGAGTCGCGCCGGTCGATCGGTCTCGGGGAAAAAACGCAACTGCAAACGTCAGCTGCATCGATGATCACGATCGTTAACTTTATGGCCGCCGTGTGGCCCCGGAACGAGGACGGAAAGCGTGTTGGAGTCTCTCGATCCGCTGCCGATCGATCGGCCGTTTTCCTTCGCCTTCGACGCGACTCGTGAGTCGTTTTTACCCGAGATTCCCGTATCGTTCGTTACCCGAGTTTCGAGATTACGAGAATTCAATAATAATAACGTCGATAATTCGAACGTGCCGATGCTACGCTACACTTCATCGTCTTATGCTTTTCGAATTTACGACTGTACGTGATCCACTGCGAAATTCAACAAGTTTTTCTCGTTCTAGCTGGCCTTAGAATAGCTCAGGTCCTTCATCGCGTTTAATGAAAACGTTAATTTTGTAAATTAAAAATTAATGTATATATATATATATATACATATATATTAATTATATATATTAATATATATTAATTATATATATATAATTAAAGAATTAATTATTATTATTTTCATTTTTTTATAATTTATTATTATTATTATATTTGTAAAAAGTTTTTATTATTTAAGATTTTTAATTATAATAGAATTTTTACATATATTTCTATATTTTTATTTTTAATATAATTATATATAGGCATAGATTATGATTATTTTTTATATTTTTAATATTTATAGTATGTGTGCATCGACATAAAGAAATATTAATTAATGAAATACCTTTCGGAACAATTCAACTTTTAATGTAAAACATCTTTTGATACAATTAATCGTTAATGAAAATGTTTCAACTTCGAGTCTTAGATGACTCTACCTATATTAATTAAAACGTTTGTTTTTTAAGTTTAATATTGCTCGTCCCTGAGAGAATCGACACTGCCAGAAACGAAAAACACAAAATCGGCACCGCGCTTTTAACACTAGAACTAAGAAAGTATAACGTGTCTAGCAAAAAAAAAAAAAAAAAAATTAAAAGTGCAAGGTATAAGAAAAAGTTAATAATAAATAACAAAGAACATGCTTCTACTAACATATTTCATTAAAAATTACTCGAGTATCTAAAAACATACTGTTACAAATATACAAAATTATAAATTGGTCGTTTTTACCATTTTTACCAGGTCTAATGTCAACGTGTTAATGAAACTTTAATTAACGGAAGAAGGAAGAGACATAAGTCGTTAAAAGCTAGCTCCCGATCATGTCGTCTACGTGAACGTATTATGTCGTAGAATCTCGCGCGTCCATATGCACCGATCGAGTGGCAAGAAATGAATTTCGAACGTCTTAACTGCACAGGCCAGGAACAGGTTTAGCGGGTGAACGTGTTTGCATCTTCTGAGAAAAAATCCAGCCGAAATGATCGCGGAATAGGCCGCTAACGACACTCTCGGCCATTGGCCGATATCGAACGTTTAACGAAATTTCTTCGCAGGCAAATGGTTATCGCAAATAATGTCTGCCTCGATAACTGCAACCGATTTCGCGTCACTCACGCTTCCGTAAATTGATTATTATCGGGAATCGACATTAAGAGATATTTTGTCGGAAACTTTCTGAATTTTTTTCGTGAATTTCATCCGTCTAACGAAGATGATCTAACGCAAATTTCTATTTTAGCGACTTTTCCGAATTTTGATTATTTTTTTTTTTTTGCGTTTGTTCGATACGTTTCTTTTTCTTTTTTTGTTTTTTTTTTCTTTTTCTTTAAGTAACAAAAACTTATACGTATAACTTTCTCCCAATTGATGTTTTATTTTAGTGATACAATCAACCTCTTATCGAAGAATTATTATGTTGAAACTTTCCCTCGATTGATTTTTTTTCTTTTTTTTTTTGATCTCAGCGATTAAAATTAACCTCCTGTCGAATTATCACGTTAAAACTTTCCCTCGATTGATTTTCTTTATTTTAGTGACAAAATAAACCTCTTGTTAAAGAGTTGTTGTATTAAAACTTTCCCCCGATTGATCCTTTTATTTTAGTGACAAAATGAACCTGTTGTCGAAGAATTATTACGTTAAAACTTTCCCCCGATTTGATTTCTATAAACAATATCGCCGAATGTAGTCAATACGGCAGTATCAAGTTTGCAAAATGAACGTAATAGTAATTTCATCAATAGTAATAGTCCATCAAAATTATTACTATCTTAATCTTAAATTTTTTCAGGTTAGGTTTTTAGGTTGAGTTACGTTTTCAGATATTTTGCAGGAAATTGCAACATTTTCTCAGTTTTAAATATATTGAAATATAACCCAGACAAAACAAACAGTAAACTTGTTACTTTTCAGTAATTTCTATCCAGTGATATACCGATGAATTCAAGGAGAAGACGAATTATTGTATACGGTGCTGGTCACTCGTTACGGTCCGCGAACCAGTTGCCAGCGCAAGGGTAGATTTAGACCGGCGTTTAGGTTTAGACTTATGCCACAAGGTGATAATTTATTGCAAACGACGTTTACACGTTTATACGTTTTCTGATTATGAATTCGAATCCAACGATAACAGTGACACAGGCAAACAATGCCACCGGGTATTATTCAAACGACGAAACATCAATCAGAGTAACAAGAAGCAATGAATAATCTGACAATATTGATAAACCTCTTGCTACGAGCTAGGCTACAAAACTTTTGGAAATTATATTAATATTGGCCGTGTGTTCGGGCAAATTCACGCCTCGCGTAGAGATCACGTCGTTTGACCAACCGCGTAAACAGCTTGTTACTCGCCGCGTGAGATCAACTTAATATAGACTCGGTGTTTCGCGTCCAGATTAGGTGCCCCTTGATCTACGACGTGGATCTTTCAAACTCTCCAAATCCTCCTTTGCCCGTCCGGGCTGCGGCGGAGACGCGAACGTGGCGCCAACGTTTGCTCTCGTCAAAGAGGAAGATCAAACAGGTATCGTAAACTCGAATTGAAGGTTCCCTAAGCCTAAAGTTAAAGTCGGTGTACATCGGTATCTGGCGGAGGAGATCTCGATACGGGATAAATAGTTGAAGGGAAGGAACAGAGAGAGAGAGAGAGAGAGAGAGAGAGAGAGAGAGAGAGAGAGAGAGAGAGAGAGAGGAGAAGTGAGTTAGAAGGGAGAGACGACATATGCGGCGAGTGACGAAAGGGAGGCGGTACCAAGGCGACGTTTAAAGGCAAAAAAGGGGCAGAAAGATTGGTTGGAGCGCTTTACATAGCGTTTGCCAACGTCTGGCCATGCCGGGAATGGCAGAGGGGAACACCGTTCTGCCTTTATACCGTCTAATACTACGGACGGAAATATCCGTAATGCAAGGACAGACATCGGCGCTAGCCGACTCCTGGGTCCGACCGACAGAGGAGAGCCTTGTTACGAAGATTTCAGCCGAGCTCGGCCAATCGACTATCATCCGAAAGCCGTACGCTTGATCTCGTGTGATCTCGATAATTCGTAAAGCAAGCCCAGTGAAGGGGGGGGGGGGGGGGGGGGGGGGGGGAATTCGCACGTCGAACATCTTACGTACAAAACACGAAACGAGAAAAGCGATCTTATCCATTTATAGAAAGCCATGAAATACTCGATAGGCGAAAAACTCTCCGACATTTTGACAAAGCGTAAAGATACGCAAAGGTCGTTCGAGTTTTCCCCGAAAGAAGAAGAACAGAACTGACGTTTCGCCTCGGAGAATGTTTCAAATTGTTCTCCTCTCCGTCGTCCTTGAACTCGAGGGCTCCATCATCCGTCCGAACAATCGTAGGCGAGGAGATGCAACATTATATTCTCGGAAATATAAATCGCGACTGGTCGAGCGTCGAATCACCTGTATTCGCGTGTACGGCATTTTCCTTTTCCCGCGAAAACCGCGATTTCTGGCACGCGTCGCGCGTGGGTGAAATGTCGAACGGTCGCGTTCCCTCCGCGGTTACGCGAAGCCCCGTGACGTCAGGCCACGATGCAAACGCTGCCGGGAGTCTGTTTACTCTGCCAACTCGCAGAAACCCGCCTCTACGTGTCACGGCAGAAACGATGAATTAATTCTATTCTAGGACGGGGGACGCGGCTTATTGGTGCGACCGCGTTCGGTTCGCGTAACCGCTCGAGAATGTTGGACGGCGGCGAGGCAAGGCCGAGTGTAAAGAAAGAAGGCAGCTCGCGATGCACACGAGCGTTTCCTAGGATGGCATTTCCTCTGACACTTGCTCTTTTACTATCTTCGTCGACGAAAACGCCGATTATCGAGTCGAAAGGAACGTGAGGGAGGCGTGATGAGAAATAATAAATAAATGAGAGAGGTAGCCGATTCATTACGATTGAACGACACGATCGTGACAAATTAGGCGAAGTTAGGCTGCCGCATAACGCGTAATTTTAGTAGCGTGGCGAGTCGCGATGAAAAGGCTGCAGCAACACAGAGGCGAGGCAACCCTCGCACGGTTTACATTCTCTCCGCTGATTAATAACGCGTCGTCCGCGCGCGAAACTGAATAAGCGGCCGCGCATTAATCAAGCGTCCACGATCGAATTACCGATGACCTCCTTGGGGTAAACAATCCACCGTTTCTCACCGAGATTCTCGAGCGAAACGTACGCTCGTTGATAGGCCAACCCTGCGACGACTTCACCCTGTGACGAATGCTCTATCGTCAACTGTCTTTCTCTTTCGTGGTAATTTTGTTTCGTGAAATTTTAACATCGGGAGTCCCTTTCGCTACGTCCTCGCGTGTCTGTATAATATATACGAAAGACTATATGTATGTATATATAGACATATCTCTAAATTTTTCTCACTACAACACATTTGCTGTTTTTTACTAAATTGATCCAACACCGAATTTATCGTTTCGTTTGTAACGTAGCAAGTAGCTGAACATCGGCAGCTGTTTCAATGTTTGTATGATTTTATTAATCCTTTAGCTATTAAACTGTTGCGCTGGAATGACGTGTCACGCGCGTCGAGAACTTTTGGTCCCCAATTGCGAGATTTTCACAGTTTTAAGTATATTTAAGTGTAACCCAGGCAAAATGATAAGTTTATTACTTCTTGATAATTTCTATACAGCGATGTCGTACCGACGA